AAGAGTGTGGAGAAGGCAGGAAAAGTGAACAATCTAGCACAAAATAGCTGATTTGTAAAAATTCTCCTATTCAGCTCACTTTCCAGTTCAGCTATGTTGTCCTAGATTGTTCACTTCTCCTGCCTTCTCCAAACTCTTCACCCTTTTGTGAATAATTCTGTAAATTTTTAAGCCGATAGTACCGAACAGCGTTGATCCTTCATTAAAATCTTCCCCATGTTCTCCACTGCCCATGTCTCCACATTCTGGAGATGCCATGAAGACATTGGGTCAATGCTTCATGTTTCTGGCCCTAAATGTACAACCTTTTGGTCCACACAAATTAACAGGACTACTCCCCCTATACAAGGCTGCCCACTACTCCTATTATTCTATCTCAAACCTTTATCTGAGAAGCCCTACACATGATCCCATCACATACATTTCAAGAAGAAAGTAACCCTTGCAGTGGGGCTAACCCCACACTGCAAGAGATTAATTGCTGATTTTGGTCTAGGGACAAAAATAAAGAAGATATACTAACCTGATCCATGTTCCTGATTGGCTTCTAGACCGGTCCCTGCAGCCTCTTCTCCCCTGGGCTCTGGCTGTCTAAGTACCCATGATGTAATTACATCTAACTTAGGTCCATTGGACATGAAGATGCTTAGGGCATGCCACAGTTGAGGGGGAGAGAAGTGAGTAGTCACCGTTGCATGACCGAGGATTGGGTGAGTATATCTTCTTTATTTTTACTCCAGACCAAAATGAGCACTTACCCCTTCTTGTGTGGGGTTAGCTCCACCTCAGGGGTTAATTTGAAAAACAATTAAAGTTCTTCTTCAACCAATGCTGCAAAAGCATGTATACCACCCCTTTGCAAGAATTCCTCACATACAATTGGGCAAGAATCAATGAAAACATGAGAGTGGAAGATCTCACAACCTCTCTGAAGGCCAGAGACAGGCAATTCAGAAAGACCTGATTCTACTAGACAATATATACTTACATTTATGTTCTTAAATTTAGATTTGCTTCAAAGTGATATAAAAGTCAAAAGGTTTTTAGGCTATTGCAAATGCTGATGAAATCACTTACAATGGATGCTGCTCCGTGAGCTCTAAAAGTTTTATTTTTCTGCAGAATCAGCTGGTCCCCTGAGCACTGGCCCTGATATCCTGTTTTAACCAGTTGACATCCGCGGTGTTAAACCCCCTTCCCATCCAGGCCATTTTTCAGTATTCAGCGCTGCGGTACTTTGACTGACATTTATTCCGTCATGCAGCGCTGTACTGAAATGAATTTAGGCTCCTTGCCCTTGCAGGGTCATGTGGAGCCACGCTTGTATGTGCTAGTAAGCTGTGTGTTTCTCCACAAACACACAGACACAGCAGGGCAAGACACTCCTCTGCTCTCCTCCTCTTGCTGCCTTCTCCAAGCTAGTAGATGGACAGTTGCTGAAGGCTCCTCTGCCCCTTGTGATCTTGTACTGGACAGGAAGTTCATGGAAGCTGAGCTGAGAGAGTTGGAGCTGTTTAGAAATATGATGCATATTAGTTCTTGGACAAAAATATAAGGAAGTACTTTGCTGGGTAATGTGTATTTGTTTAATCTGGATTCATTATTGAAATAGCTTTGAGAGTTTATGACTACTTTATTTACACTGCCTGTCCAAAAAAAAGTCACACACTCTAATATTTAATTGGACCGACCTTTAACTTTGCTTACGGCACACATTCACCATGGCATTGTTTTGATAAGCTTATGCAATGTCACAAGATTTATTTCCATCCAGAGTTACATTCATTTATCACCAAGATCTTGTAGCGATGATGGGAGAGTCGGACCACTGCGTAAAGTCTTCTCCAGCACATCCCAAAGATTCTCAATGGGGTTAAGGTCTGGACTGTGTGGTGGCCATTCCATGTGAGAAAATTATGTCTCATGCCCCTGAACCATTCTTTCACAATTTGAGTCAGATGAATCCTGGCATTGTCATCGTGGAATATACCCAATGTGCCATCAGGGAAGAAAAAAATCAATTGATGGAAAATCCTGGTCATTCAGTATATTCAGGAGATAGTGGACCTCATTTTTTGGGGACATAACATTGCTGAACCTAGACCAACTGAAGCAACCCCAGATCATAAGACTTGTCCACTGGAAGACTCTTATCTATTTGCTTAGCTAAACCAGGTAGTGACATTTTTTGGACAGGCAGTAAAAAAATATATATATATAGAATATGTGTATACTGTATAAATATTGAGAGGATATACAGTATATTCCCTGTAAGAGACGTTTTATGACGTTAATTGAATTTTTTTTTGCTTTAAGCATGGATCAAAGGAGGGAGTGCTAGTCTTTGTAATTGTACTGTGATAATAGAAAAGGTTTCTACAAGAAGGCACTTCCACCGAATATTTCCCATTTCACTGCAATGAACTCTGTAACTGAACATGATAAATCAGAAGGCACTATGGCTACAAATATACGTGCCTCTTCCGCTTGTAATTTTTCTCTAGACGTATTACTGTCCTAACACTTCCCCTCCCCCACACCGCGGACGCACCATCCCTCTTCCCTTTATTTCCAGTGATGATGGATGACGCTAGGTAGCTTCATCTATCCACCGAGCAGGCTCATTTAGACAGAGGTACACTTTTGGGTACGGCCTGGCTATTCCTCCCAAGTTCCCTCTGGGTCGGTCAAACGGATGCGCTTGATTAAACTTTTTCTCTTTTTGTTGCAGAATCAATATTCTCATTATTACCGCTTTCATCGACCTTATAAAAACTAATCTCTGCTCTGTGTTAAAGGATTGAGGATATGGTATGTACTGAGGCCTCATTTACACCAAAGTACACGTGTTAAGGTGCCCATACCGCTTGCACACGCTGGTACGCATCATGTATGCACTGCAATGCGTTGTTAAAAAACACATCACTATGCTTACTTTTTTGGGGGGAAACTTCATTTTGCTTGACACTTCAGTTAATTCTGTCTAGCAGCGTGTTGTGATGCGCTATAGTGTAACGGAATTCACTGCACTGTGCAAAAATGCAGCATGTCCTATTTATTTTTCAGCAAAGGAAAATTGTCTGGTTTGTGAGTTAGGACTGCATTGGGCATTGCTGCACAACGCAGGTCACCATGGCTGATGTGACTGAGCTGTAAGGATGGATTCTAGGCAAACAGATAAAAACATGTTTTATATATATGAGAACTGTTTTAGCGACCAAAGGATTTCTATTTCTATCAATGCAGTCTTGAGATTTAAACAGCTCTGTCAAAGATACATCTCTTTGTCACTCTGTTCTCTCCTCCTATCAAAATGCTTCTTGCACTGCACTTGTACTAGGCTCTTTGTGCTGCTTCTCCCTCCCCACCTCTAAACTCTAAAGACTGTACAGTAGACCACAAGAGGTAACGCCAAGACAAATTCAAGTGCTTACACTGCTTAGAAACATTTCTGCTTTAAATACCTTACTGTATTAGCAATCCTCATGATAATAATGGAGAGCAGAAGATAGGATTGGCTTCTTTTAAAGATCTTAGGGTCTGATCTATACATCTTCCGCCCAACATATAGCTGGGTGAATGCCGTTTGCATGGCATTACCACCACTAGGTGGAGCACAGAAATTATGCCCCCCCGGTTCCATCTAGTGGCAGTAATGCCAAGTGAACGGCATTCACCCAGCTATATGCTGGGTGGAAGATGTATAGATCAGACACTATGTGTGTTTTGAGGGGGCCCTTAGCAGTTGTCAGTTTAAAGCCTTGTTATCAGCACTGAAAATGTCTTACCAGAAAGGTTCAGATAAATCCCTGTGCATATGTCAGCGAGCCAATGTGCTCCTAACCCTTACTTTGGACTGACAGCATGATGCCTTGTCTCCTCTAAAATCCCAACCAACGTTATCAGCCCTTCCATCTGAACTACCAAACTCTTTCCCAGCAAAACAAGTCTGCCACCTTGACTGCCAAGAACCTGCCTGCATAGTATATAGGGAAAGATTTCTTGGGAAATGTATTTCTTGCGAAATGTATTTCTTGAGGTGTGTTTGCATTAATAGAACTGACCTCCTAGTAGAAGCCCTTGCAAAAATGTTTACAAGCCTGGTGATGATGTCACAGAGAGTAATTAAAGCTGTTTCTAAATACAGGAACAAGGTGACAGCAAAAAAAATAATGTTGAGACATGCTCGGGAGCAGCCCTTTTCAACCAGAGTGCCGCAGCACCATGGTGTGCCTTTTGGCTTTGTCAAGCATGCATTCAAATATTTGCCCTGTGTCATGCATTTCCATGCTGCTGATGAGCTGGCCACCAGTACCATAAAAAAGCATGACGCTAATCCAGGACGGGCTCCATCCAGGATCTCCTCCACCATTCAGAAGAAGATGGAAGTGCACCTCCATCCAGACCAACTCTACCTCCCGCCCTTTGCCAGGTCATCATGAGGTGGGACTTTGATGTGGAAGGGGGACTGAGAACTTTGTGTGAAGGAGGCTGCTGATGAGCAGGAGGCTGTCTGATGTGAAAGAGGTATCTGATGTGAAGGGGATCCCAATTAGCATCCATTCCAGAGCTACATCTAGGAAAGTGTTCTGGTATAGATATTTTGGGGAAACATATCCTTTTTTGAATTTCTTGATTTACATTTTGTTACATTTTACAATGGGGTGCCTTGAGATTTTGCATACTTTCAGAGGGTGCCGTGACTAAAAAAAGGTTGAGAAACGCTGGTCTAGAGGAGGGAGAGGGGTGGAGGTATGGGGTAAAATTTGGGTAATTCCTGGACATACTTTAATAGAGCTGAGATCACAAACATTTTCTTCCTCAGTATTGATCTTAGTTATTGAAGTGTCTAAATAAAGGACTTTTATAGCTGCCTGTGGCATCCAATCGGATGCTCAGCATTTTCTTCGACCAGTACGCTATGTACATATAATTTCAAAATGCTGATAAGCAGAAATCGAGCTGTTGTTAAGCACCAATGGAATCTCGTTGTGTCTTACCTGGAGTTGATTGTCTGCCAACAGTTGCGGGAAGATGTTTAATTGATCAGAAGACACTGCACCTACGAACAGAGGGAGAAACATCTAGTTACGAATTAATGTCTGCTCTGCTGTACTGAAAGAATGATAAACAGCTGATCCAGTACACGGAAAACCCTTAACATGGGGAGCAGAACGTTGTCCCTTTATTTGTTTTATTCAATTAAGCTGTGTTGAGAGCAATGTCAGCATGCAAGGAAACCAATCACACTTCAGTCTGTCGTCGGAAACATATTAGGGATAGAATTTAATTGGTTGGTGTGCACTTTGCACATTGCCTTGAAGCTCATTGAAAAAGCTCAATGTGTGTATCATTTTCAGTTTGATAAGCATACCCTGCAGGTATATGCTGGACTTGAGGAAACACAAGCATGCGTACAGACGCACAACCCTGAACCTATGTAAAGCCATGTACATCTGTTGACTTCTATGGGAGATTGTACACCCAGGAATTTACATTTTTTGGGTACAGCCGCTTGTGTGTAAGAGCCCTTAAGCTGGCCATACAGTCTAATTGCTCAATCTACTAAAGGGCCAAAACAAACCTTTGTGATGTGGTGCTGACCAAAAATGGACATGCAGTATATTTTAACCTACCAGCATGTGTTTGGAGTGTCGGGGGAAACCCACACAAGCACAAGGAGACAATACAAAATCCATGCAGATACAGGGCTTTGCACCAGGTACCTCCACAGCTAACAGGGAAAAGCGCTAACCACTAAGCCACTGTGCCACCCAATGCTATGTATTTTACTATGTTATGGCACCATTCATTTTGAATCCCCATCCCACTAAGGCAACGCAGCTCTTGCGCAGATGAATTGCAGCGCATCACAAAACATGATATTGTGTCATAAAAAATGTTGCATATCCATTTTAAGTTCATTCTTGTGTGATGGCTGGCCTTTCAAAACAAATGGGTTGCCTTAATGCAATGCACGTTAACATGTCATGATTCTGCTCATCCCTACTTGTCCGGTGTCAATTACACATCAATTAAAATGCATATTGAAGCATTACAGCAAGCAGCGTTTGAGACATTTGTTGGACAAATCTAATATTTTATATTTGGTAGGAGTTCCTTAAAAGGGGTTTGTAGTATTGGAAACATTAAATAAATAATAAACATGATAATATAATAAAGAATAAAGTGACATTTAATTTCACAGCAAATAGAAATGTAATACCAGATGTGTCGCTTTGTACTGACATTTGAAGCTTTGCTTGGAAATATGTAAATTATAATGACAGCACTCTAACAGAAATGTAACATTATAGGCATCCGGCTTCTTTAAAGGCTCATTTGCACAGTCCTCAAAAAACACGTTGTACAGATGCTCACATCGTATACTTTTGTGGGCATCTGTATGCAGCAGTATAAGGCTAAGGGCCCATTCACACAGTTGTGTCTGGCAGCCTAATGTTGTTATTTTATACTGTACACATGCAAAGGTTTGTGCTAATTAGGGATGCACCGATACCACTTTTTTAAGGCCGAGTACGAGTACCGATACTTTTTTTAAAAATGTTTACATGCGTAAAGGCGTAACTAGAAATCCCAGGGCCCCATAGCAAAATTTTGTAAGATCCCCCCACCCACAACGAAACCCCCGGCCCCATTTTAATATAAATGCGCTGATCAGCACGTTTTGGAGCGTTTTTAATTGCGTTTCAGCACTGAAACGCGACTAAAAACAGCCAAAAATGCTCTTTCAAAATCGTGCGGAAACCACGATGAAACGCTTCTGCCCTGGTGTGAATGGCGCCTGAATGAGGCCTAACACTTTACTTTAATACTGCCACACCAATGAGAGGCTGAGGAAAGGGTGATTATAAAAAAATTAAGGAACGCTAAACTGTAAATAAGCGATTTATGTTATAAATGGTTTTTGGTGTTGGTGTTGTGATAAAATGATACAGGCGTATATTTAATTGCAACATAAGGTATCACAACGCACGTCAATGCGTCACAAAGCTTTGCCATGCACTGCCACAGTTAAATGAATGTTTTTTTACAAAAGAAAAAAATAATGCACTGCGATGCGTTCTAACAACGCACTGCAGCGCATGTGCCTGGCGTACACCACAATATGGTGCACGTGTATGTTATGTGTGTGTGTGGGGGGGTTGTGCTTTTTTAAAAATGTATTTACACATTTTTTTATATTTTTTAATTATTATTTATTATTATTTTACTTTTACTGACATTTCCCTTTTGAAATAGAAAAAGACATTGAGGACACAAAGTCCTCAATGTCTTTTTCTGCAGCCTCAGCACTCAGTGAATGGGAAGCACTCAGTACAGAGGCTTCCCATTCATTCACAAACAGCTGATAGTAAGATATTTACTATCAAGCAGATTCTCAATGGGGAAAAGCCTCTGTACTGAGTGCTTCTCCCCATTTAGAAATGCATGAATGAACAGGAGGTGATGTCACATATAATGTGTCCACCCCACACTGGAGTGATCAGACGTACACACCAGTGTACGTGCTGCACACGGAGGATCGGCAAATATCAATGATACTTATCGATCCTCCGCTCGGCCACGCACAGAGCCGCTGTCATCCTGACACTGACAGGAGGACATCGGCTCCGCTCTCCTCCCCGCCTGCCGCTCAATCAGGATGAGCGAGCGGCAGGCGAGGAGGAGAGCGGACATGTTAAGAGCGGGCAAGCTACATGTTAAAAAAGGATAAGTAAAAAAGAAGTGTAAAATACAGTGGTGCCTCGGTTCACAAACGCTTCTGTTCACTAACAATTCGGTTTGCGAACAGAAAGTTCGGCAAAATTTTGCTTCCGTTCGCGAACTCCACATCGGGGGACGAACACAACCGTAGCCATCTTCCCTGCTCTGACACATGGTTGTGGCTTTCTCTAGTCGAGATTGCAGTCTGATTACAGTTTGATTCGGTTCGCAACCAATACGTGACCAGAATCGTGGAACGAATTAAGTGCGTGAGCCGAGGTACCACTGTACTGCTGTCAGGGGTCTCAAGGGGGACACGGAGCCTGGAGTTGGGCTTTCAGAAGCAACAGCTAACCAGGAAGCTAAGCCTGCATCTGTAGAGAACCAATATGGCCGCTCCCCTGTACATATATAATGACAAGCTACACGTACAAGCAAGCCTTTTAAAACTTAAACTGATACGAAAATTTACATCAAGCCGGCTACATATATATTTAAAAAGCATAAAAAATATTATAGCTTTCCTTTCATTTTTGATCATTAAATAACCCTGCGGGAAAGTATGTCAGTACAACCTTTACTTTTTGCTTTGGTTCTTTTTTAAGTATGATGGAAAAACTGAATAATGTCAAATGGTTCTTCCTAGATATATCATTTCATAGTCCTGCACATTAAAGGCATTTTGTGAGCCCTGACTGTAACTGGACAGCTGTTACATCTTTTTACCTGAAATAGTAATGAACTAGGAGGTAGACATGATGTTCTTCCTTTAAACCAGTCTCCTTTTGAAAGAATTATTAAAGGGGCTGTCATAAAGAATAACACATATGAGAGAAGGCTGTCATGATAACAACACATTCCCCAGTTCAAAGGCTGTTTGTTAGCGTGGAGAAAATAATAAGGTTCAGCTTGGCTGACTCCAGATCAGTATGCGGCCCGTGGACCTGGGGATGCCTGCTTCCAATGGAGCTTTCTCACACATGTGTTTTTGCTTTATGACAGATTCCCTTTAAAGCAGCACTGCGGGGGAAGTATTTTCTTAACCCTTGCAGTGGGGGTTAAGAGCTGGCTTGCTCTTAGACCGGTCTCTTCCCCCTCTGCTACAGCGATGCTATGTCCCTTAGCATCCTCACATCCTATACACAGTGTATAGGACATGATGACTCACGGGATCTTAGACCGCTGCAGCAGAGAGGGAAAGGGTTGGAAGAAGAGCCAACCAGTTCCAAGGATCAGGAGAGTATAACTTTGTTATTTTTGAACCTAGACATAAGCAAGCACTTAAATCTTGCAGTGCAGGGGTAGCCCCCACTGCAAGGGTTAAGAAAATGTTTCCCTTGAGTTCTGCTTTAAAGCTGAACTTGCGGCAAATAACCAAATACATACAGTATATCAGTGTTGCTTTACCTCTCGAAGACTTTATATTTATGTCCATCCAGTTCTGAGCTTTGCACAGCCAGGTGGATGCCACCACTTTCTCTGTTATTATTATAGACTGTGAAAAGGAATACAGTGTTGCCGTCTCTCCACCTCCAGCCTGTAGGTTGGAACATTGAAGCAGCAGCAGAAGACCGATGAACGCATCTCTCTGCTCATTATATTCTCTTCTCCTATAAGCATGTTGATTGTTGGCACATTTGCATGCAGCACACTTGACTAGATCCAATTCTGCCTCCCTCGGTGCCGATACCGAGTATTTGGGCGAATACTCATACTCACCCAAATGCGCCTATTCGTATCCTTGGTACCAGAGCTTCCGGTCAGAGGGAGATTTCCTCTGACCGGCAGTGCCGTGAGGGAACATGGAGCCATCTTCCTGATTGGCCGGGAAGCCAGCTTCCTGCTGATTGGCTGTGAAGCCGGCTTCCTGGCCAATCAGCATGGAGCCGGCCAAACAGCATGGAGCTTGCTTCCCAGCCAATCAGAAATCCGGGCAGTGGGTAATGACCCGTCTCCCAGCTTCCTGATTGCCCTCCATGCCAGCGGAAGTACCGGTATCGGTACTCAGTATTGTAGAGTACAGAAACATAAAAAAATCGAAAATCCAGTATTGGTGCATCCCTAGCTGATACCAAGTCAATTCAGGTTCTTACACAAGTTGAATTTAAAGTAAAAAAGCAAATGTAAGGATGTTTTCATAATTGCAGAGCTGCTTACTTTGTATCTTATATATACCTGAAGCTGAGCTTTAAACACTGACAGAATGAGCAAAAGAATGACTCTTAGCTGTGAAGTCTTCATTCTGAAGTGAACCTGTGCAAACGCAACAGGTTCGCTTACTTGCCCATAGTCCCTCTCTCCCATACTCACCTTCCTTTGATCTCCTCCCCAGC